TTATGTGTGAAATTGATAGCTCCATTGCTGTTATCAAGTCACCAGTCCAGCACTTTAAAGTCATGGTCTGCAAAATAAAATTGTCTCCCTTTTGAATGTCAACCCCTAAAACCAAATATTCCCATTTATTAAAATAAAAATGTAAATTCCGTACCATCTTAAATACCTAGTTTATAGCTGTTATTACCTGGCATAGCATGCACTGGGAAACACTATTTCAAGGCTAGCTCTGCCAAAATATAAACAGAAACATAGTAACTTAGTTAATCAATAATATATTTTGAAGAGAATCATTTACTTTCACTTTTCAATTATTTTTCAGGTTCGTGGAAGGAGTGCTTAACATTTGTTACAATGCCATCGATCGTCATATCGAAAATGGTAAAGGAGATAAGATTGCTATCATCTATGACAGTCCTGTTACAAATACTAAAGCAACTATTACCTATAAAGAAGTTCTGGAGCAGGTAATATCATAAACTATTTATATACATTGGAAGTCATTTAGAAATTATTTAAATAGCATACATTCTTGTTGGATAGCCTTTAATTCTCTTAACGCGTTGACATACGTTACCATGTTTTTCTTTGTTTGCACGTTGGAAATGACTACAGGTCTGTTAACTCATTTAGACTGTTTTTACTCCTTTAATTTACATGTCATAGTACTACTGAAAGATGTTCATTTTATAGGGAGAAGAGAAGAAATCTTAACAATATGTTTAAATCTTCTCTGGCCTTTGCTCTCTACCCACGTTGCCATCACTTTAGTCCATCTGCCCCTTAGCTCTTGTACTTTTGAAGCAGTCTCCTATCTGCCTTTCCTATTACCGGGCTATGCTCATGTTATTATAGATTAGCACCTCAAGTGCCTCCAGAGTTTTCTACCTAAGAAACAACATACTTCTCTACTCCATTTAAAAATCTTTTTCTTAAAAATTTCTATTATTCAGAGAGTAAAATATACTGTGATGTATAAGACACTTTGAATTCTGATCACAGCATTCCTTCTAAGCTGCATTTCCCAACAGTCTTGGCTATGCACACAACTCTTTTTCACCCTGGATGTCCTGTCATTCCCTCTGACACTCCTGGCCCTTTGCAGCTCTTTGCATATGCTCATTCCTTTGCCTTGTTTTCTCTTTTTAGTTCTTTCCCATCTGTGTAGTTCTTAGGTAAATCGTGATATTAATAGATGAGTTATGAGATTTTTCTTTTTTAACATTAGGGTAGAAATAAGATTTCAAAAGTAAGTATAAAAGTATGTGGGTGTTGTGGACTATGGGAAAGTTATTTAAACTCTGTGGAACATTCATTTATATATGATTTCAAGGGAGATGATGGTGCAGGGCAGGGTTTCTCAGCCTTGACACTGTTGAGATTTTGGATGAGATAATACTTTGTTGTAGGGGATGTCATATACGTTGCAGAATGTTTAGCAGCTACCACTGACTTCTATCTACTAGAGGCCAGTAGCACCTGTCCTTGAGTTGTGATGTCTCCAAACATTGCTAAAGTCCTCTTGGTAGCAAAATTTCTACTGGCTGACAAGCAGGAGTTGAACAGAGTCTGTCATGCTAGGGTTTAGAAGTATTTGCTTTTAAATGAAGGCTTTTTGAATTGCATTCTCTCCTTTTGCTTTTTAACCCATTTAAGGGTTCTGTTCGATTTTTAGAAAGTTTGGTCCACTCTCCCTAACTTTCTGAAGTTATATTCTTTTTGCATCAGCAAATTCTTGATTAGCCTTGTAAGATATTTCAAGAAAGCCAACTCAGACAGAACAATTAGCTTCCCAATCCTGAGTTGTTGCAAACAAAGAGAAAAGTTAAGCCAGCTTGCTCAGGCTGGCCATCAGAATAGTTATAGCAACAAAGTTCAACTTTAACTGATTTAAACATAAAATGTATGGAAAGGGAAGATGTGAGAGCCAGCCTCAGAAAAATGGCACGCACTGAGGGAGAAAGGATAGCAGTGAAGAATTAAGAAAAATCCACAAATTGTCTGTTAATAATAACTAGACTTGCTGCCTTGAGTCAATCTCCTTCTAGATTGAAAGACAGAGTAGGGTCATCTAGTTGGCCAAACTTAGGTCACTTGCCTAAAATACCAGGCAGTGAGGAGGAAATATCTTGTCCTCTTTTGATTTTGTAATAGGAATTTGGGCCCTGCCTCCCCTATAGGATACATTCAAGAGAAATTCCAATCTAATAAGAGTGAAGTTCAAATGCTAGGCAGCCCAAGACAGAAAAAAAACAAAAGAAAAGAACGCTGTAGGTATATTGTTTGGTATTTTTTATTGGTCTGTAGGTGGGACCTGTGTATTTTGAGAATGAAATATAGAGACAGAGCTTACACTGGGGCTGAGTAGGGAAGGTACTTCATTACCAAATGAGCTTTTTATTCATATGAGGCTGTGTTTTATTGTAGGACATAATGTAAATATCCTGAAAACCTACTATACTTCATGTTTTATTTTAGGTTTGAATTTTCAGCTTTTAGAAGAGGTTTAGTCTGTGATGAAAATCTTGTTCCTGTGATTTGAGCATATTGCCACAGTCTCATTTTATGAATGTAGAAGCCTAAGATACTGGTATATAAATTAGGAAGTTTATTTATATATTGTAAAAATGTTATCTATATCAACATATGGAATTTGATACATAACCAAACACTAGAGTCAAAGAAAAAGCTTTAGAGAAACCTAAAATAAGAATTGTTACCATTCTCATTGTCTGTTGTTTTCTTTTTAAATTTATTAATTACATAAGCATATACAAATACTTATACACATACATTTTACCTAGAAGTTTTTCTGCTAACTCATCTTGATTTTCCAATATTGAGTCTAGACTCTTAGACCCTTTTAACATTTGTACTGGTTCATCCATTTCAGTTTAGCCTGACATCAAAGTACTTAAAAGGATTGTTTCTCTCACCTGCTGACAGCCTCTGATTCCCCAGGCTTTTCTCCTCTAAAGTACTAAAAGAAGAATTGTTAGGAAAGAGAGAGAAGCATTGTGTGCTACTTTGATTACCTGCTCCTGGTTCCCTGTGGCCTTTATTTTATTAAGTAGAGAAGACAGAGAAAGATTGATTTAATAATGCCGTTGAGAACAAACATAAAGAAGTACCTTTGTACGTTACTTGTTTCAATCTCCAGTGCTTCATTTCTACTGGGAGTTCCTGGCTAGGTAAAACTTTATTAATTAGTTAGTATTTCTTATTTAATTAGTGAGCCAAAAAAATTTTAGGCTAAAGTGTCTTAGTGATATGAAAGATCTGAAAATTTTACAAAATGATTCAGAAGCATAACTTTTCCAAAACTGTCATCTTTTCTGTAGATCTGAGTATTTTAAATAAGCTTTTATTAAAGTTTTTCTACAGAGATTTGAACCCAGTTCAAGATTTATGATTCATTCAACAAATATTTGTTTTGTATGGCAAACCCTGATAGGAACAAGGGATACAAGGTAAATGGACTCATCCCCTATCTTTGAGGAGCTAAGAAAACATGTGAACAGGCAATTTCAATGTAACAAAATAAAGATCATGATAGGGGTTAGTGTTGTATTCTGTGGAAGCACTATGAGGCACCCAACTCACCTGGGGGTAAATAGAATCTAGGGAGGCTTTCTGGAAGAGTCAATGCCTGTTAATAAAATCAGCCTAATTGCGTACTCTCTGATACATTTTTTCCCCAAGATGTCTCATGGTTCATGTTACCAGAGTATTATGTTCTCGGTGAGATCTTTCCTGACCATACTAAATAGAAATGTTTCTGTCTACACCACTTCCTAGGTCCCTTTTTGGCTTTCCTTTAGAACTTAGTATTTATTACCCAGGATCATTCCTTATATTTTATTTATCTGTCTTCTTTAATGTTTTTTCCCCTTCTAGAATGTAAGTTTCATGAGGGCAAGGATTTTCGATTTGTTCACAGAACAGTGCCTGGCACTTAGTAAACATTTGTTGAATGAGGAATGAATGAATGAAATACCTTTTGAAATTTCTAAGTGACTCCAGCTTCTTTTGTTGCAGGAAGTTCTTATCTTTGAATTTTATCAGTAATAGAATTGGATCATCATTCCAAGTAAATTTCAACTTTTGTGAAGAATTTTAACTTATTTATATTCAGCTTGGTAGTTCAAGATTTCCTTCTTGAATTTACCGCGTTTAAATCTGCATTCTAGGAGACGTGTGTGTTCATTGTGTTCCTCCTCTTGTTAGCTCTTTTCAAGTTAGTAGTTATATTAAACCTATGTGAAATAAAAGGGGGGTGCATGTGTAAGAGATTGTGTTTGTATACGTATTTATACATTATTTACTACATTACTCATTTTAATTATTCCTATATTAAATTTATTTTCTGCATCACTAATTTTATTTTGAATTTACCTCTGTGTGTGGTGGGTGTGATCTTTTTTGTACTTCAACAATTATTAATTTTTATGCATTTATTCACTAAATTCAATTGTGATCCCTGAAGAACATTTAAGACATTTTCATGAATATATATATACTGGAAAAATTGATAAAACCCAACGTGTGCTAAATTTTCCTGATTTCATTCAAAACAAAGTTGTCTAATTATCTCTACTAAAGGTAGTTTTTTTGAAATATGATGATGATTATAATTATAAAGGTTGAATAGTTTAGAAGAGAAAATTACTCGGAAATCAAGGGCTATGCCCCATGAGAAGTCCTCCTTTCAATCTTTCCCATTTAAGATACTCTCTTTAAAGTATGCATTCCATCTACTCAGAAACAGGTCAGGGGAGAGATAATCTGATATCTCTTTATCTGTCATATGAATCAAATATGACAGATAAAGAGATCTTTCCCTAAGCAAAGATTTAAAACATAAAAACCAGAACATGCAGAAATTCAGCCCTGTCACTGGTTTTCTTGCTAAGGGGAAAGAATACAGCAGTGCATATTGTCTGTTTTCTTTCCTAAAATTTCCTAAATAAAAAATAAAAATTTCATTCATATTATAGGCAGCTCCACTAAGAAGCATATCTCTGTAAGGTAAATTACCTTTTTCATGCTTGGTGAATAGGTGAATGATGTTAGTATGAGATAGAGGTAATAGTAATTCAGGCACTTTTTTCCCCAGGATGCAATTTTTTGAACTTTTATTGAAATATGGTATACATTCAGATAAGGGAACAGATTATAAGTATAGATTTTGTTAGATTTTCACCAACAGAATACACCCATGTACCCAGATAAGAAAATAGAATATTTCCAGGCCCCCAGAAGCCCTTGTTATGCCTCTGTTTAGTCATTTCTCACTCAGTCCCCACATGGTTGCTATTTGGACATCTAACAGTTTACCTGCTTTTGAGCTTTCTGTAAATTGACTAAGACAGTGTACTTTTTTGTGTCTGGATTTTTTCACTCAACTTTCTACTGATGAGAGTCATTCATTTCATTGCAGGAGGTTGCAATTTAGTTATTTGGGTAA